ACGACCGGGGCGAAGAGGAGCTGGCCGGCGGCCACCCACCGGTCTTCCCGCCTCCCCTCCTGGCGGGGCCGGGAAAAGGGGTCTCCCGCCCGGAGCTTCTGCCCGCGGATGTCCGAGGGTCTCTGCGGCTGAGTTCGGGGGTGTCCTCGGGGCGCCGCCCGGCCCGCTCGGCCGCACAATACCGGCGCGGCCGGATAGTTACTTGTAGCCCGGGCTGTGGGGGGCCGCGCTGGCTGTGATCGCCCGGTGGCGGGCTCTGCCGGCAGCTCCTCCCCTCCAGCGCCGCATCGATCCGCTCTGGCTAGCGTCCCTCCGGCCTTCTTGTCGCGGAAGGAGGTGGGGATGGGTCTGCACCCGCCCCAGGCCAGGTCGTGCTGGGTCCCCGCGATCTGAGGGGCGTCGGACTCCACTTCTGAGTACGGGAGCGAGGCAGGGAGGGCGGTCACGGAGGGCGTCGCGGAAGAAGCGCCTTTTGAGCTGAACCTTGGGCGAGCCTGAGTGTGTGAAGGAGTAGGGCAGATCCTGGCAAAGGAGGCCCTGGCGCCTAGGCCCTGGAGGCTGTACCTGCAGGGTCGCTCGAGGAGACAGGTTTGCGGTAGGGCCAGAGGAGGTGGTGGAGCTGAGGTGATGGGGCAGGAGCCATGGAGGATTTAAAGGGAGGAGGGGGGCTGTGTGTCAGAGAAGGGGTGGGGTGAGCCCCATGATCTGGGCAGGAGGCGGTGGGGGCCAGTGTGCAGCGAGAGGCAGGGAAGGCTCCCTGCAGGAGGAGAGGTTTGGGCTCTGGGGGGCGGATGTGTTGCAAAGTGTCTCCCTTGACTTAAGTTGTGTGCGGGCTCTGGGCAGGCTGCCTGGATCTCTGGTTGGGTCCCAGGTGTCAGCTAACTGCCCTCTCAGGCCTTATTTGCGGGGCAGGGAGATGGAGGGTCTCCCGGGTCCTGGGTGGAGCTGGCCAGAGCTGCTGCCCGCCTGGAGTTTTGCCCCCACTTTCGCCTGGTCCCTGGACAGTCCCCCCAGTGCTGTTTGCCATTCCCCACCCTGCCACGTGCGGAGCCACGAGCCAAAGCCACTTCCCTTCTCTGATGTCCCCCCACCCCCACTGACTGGACGTACATCCTGTCCCTGGCCAGAGGGGCAGGCTAGGGGGCCTTGAGTCACAGTGTCCTGGGGTCAGACCAAGGCTCCACTGCAGAAGCTGCCGGGCAGAGGCTGTGGAGGTGAGGGAGACCAGAGGGCATCCGAGATGTCCGCTGGGTGGACCTTCGGGAGTGGGTGGGGGCAGAGGTCTTCCTGGAGGAGGGGCCCAGGGCCTGTCCCACCCTAGCTCCTGCCCCAGCGCTTGTTTACTCCAAGGGAGTGAGGGGAGAGAGCCTCCCGCCCTGATCCCGATCCGGTCCAGAGCCAAGCTGACATTCCTGGAATTCTGAGAGCTGCGTGCAGATCTGGGGGCAGCTGGCGCCAGTCTTCCCAGCTCCTCCCTCCAGCCCCTGATTCCCCAGGAGAGGCCATGGGCAGTGGGGTGGCCGCCCTGTCCTGCATGGCCCTGACACATGCCTGCGCGGAGGCCCCTTGGGGCACTCAGTCCTCCCGGCTCAACTCTGCCTGGCTCAGTGCTGCCCAGGCTGGACCGGACCACCCCGGGGAAGCCTCAGAGGTCAGCCCTGCCCCCACCACTGTGGCCCTGAGGGGCTGTGTCCCTCTGTGTGCGTTTTGGGCGAGCAAGTCGAGGTGAGGCCAGGCTCTCAGGGTAGACTGGGCGGGAGGGAGCCTTGGGGGCCCAGGGCACTAGTGGGGGGTGTGGGGCTCTCGCTCTTGCCCTCGGCGTGCAGCGTCAGCACAGATGTGCCCAGGCCTCTGCGAGGGCTGGGCGGCGAGGCTCAGGCTTTCTGAGAATGGGTGTCTGGCCCTAGTGATGGGGGGCACGAGAAGGGAGGGCTGAGGTCACATGTGGTTTGGAACCCGTGAGCCTTGTTTCCTGCTCAAAAAGGCCACTTGAGGGCAGGCAGGGGCAAGGGGAAGTCAGCGATTGAAGTTTTATCTGCTGAGATTCTGGCCCTGAGCGTTGCCCTGGAAACGCACCACAGGCCCCACCCCCTTACCCTGGATCAGTCTGTTTTCCCACCTGTAAAGTGTGGACCAAACCAGAAACTGCCCAGCTGGAGGGTCCTGGGCTCGGCCGTAGGCCCCACTTGCTTTGGGTAGATATGTGTCACGTGGGGTATGCAGGGCGGGAGTGGGTCCCTGAACATACCTGTTGGATGCCCCCCAGGGTCAGACAGGATCACCCTGCTACAGCCACGCTCCTGCTCTAGGCCCCGGGGGCTGAGCGGTTGTGATGGTGGTGTGTGTGGGTGTGCGTGAGCCAAAACTGGCCCTAAACTAATGATCCTCTGGACACCTGGGCCCTGGCATTTGGGGATGTCGTCTGCCAGCCCAGCCCGGCGGCCTGGGCCTGATGTGGGCTCCCTGACGGTGCTGCTCTGTAGGGGTCCAGGTGGCACAGGGGCTGGGTGGGGGTGTCTGCAGAGCTGGAGCACACACTGGGCACCTGAGGCAGGGTGCTCTCGGGGCCTCGCTGGGCGGGAAGCACCCCCAGATCCTAATTGTGTCTCCTTCACCTCTACCTCCATGTGGCCCCCAGCAGAGGAATCCCTTGGGTGTGGGGAGGGGCAGAGAAGGCTTAGGTGGGCCCAGGCAGAGGAAATGGGCGCCCTCCCCTGGAGTGGGTGTCTCCCAGCCCCTGAGGCTCTGGTTTGGGTTGGGGAGATGGCCCTGCCTGGGCTCTGTGTGGAGGGCGTGCCAGCCCGCCCAGCCCGCCCAGCCCGGGTGTTCACGTGCTGCTCCCCTAGGCTGGGGGGCCTGGGTGGGTGCAGGGGCCCAGCGGGGCTGAAGCAGCGGCAGGAAAGCCCACACCGCAGGCCTGTTTGTGTTGGCGGGCCCTCCCGGCTCCTCACGGCCGCCTCAGCCAGGGGGACCCGGGGCCTGGGCGGGTGGCTGCAGCTTCCTCCACCCTGTGCGGCTCCTCTGCTGGGGCTCAGGGGTCACCGGCAACCGCCACCCGTCCACCCCTGGCCTCCCAGGCGGCCATGAGCACACTGGTTCAGCACCGGGGCAGGGTCTTCTGCGTGTGGGCCTTGGTCTGACCAGGTAGGTGCCCATGGCCTCTGTGTGGCTCTCACTGGCCCAGGCCCCTACCTGCCCCCCTCCACAGGGTTCGGTCCCCGGTGGCGGGCTGCGGCATTTGCCTTGGGGCTGTCACTCAGCCCTGGCCCTGTTGCCTACTGTGTGTGCCGTTCTGAGGAACATAGGCCCATCGGACCCTGACCTCAAAGGAAGCCCAGCGTGGGCAGTGGGGCAGGGAGGCTTCCTGGAGGAGGAGGAGGCTGGGCTTGGATGACGACGGGAACCAGCCTCGGTCTTGCCTGTCCCCACCCCCAAGCCCTGACTGCAGGCTTGTGTCTGGGCTGACCAAGATGGGGTTGGGGCTGGGAGGGCTGAAGGCCATTCCCAGGGGGTCCTGGGGCTGCCGTGGGTGGGGGCTGCGAGTGTGGCCCAGCAGTGGTCTCATCCTGGTGGTGGCCAGTCCTCCTCATATGGGCCAATGGGCCACGAGGGGTGCTGGCGGAACTGCCCTTTGGGGCCTGCCCAGGTCTGGGGTTGGGGGAAGGGCAGGGCCAGCCTCAGGCCCGTGCGGTCAGTGCGGTGTGATGCGTGGCTTTTAGCTTCTGGAATGTTGCTGTGGGCTTTGGGCCGCTTGGCCCCGGGGAGGGTGTTCATCAAAGAAAGCGGGAAAGGCATGTCCCCCACTACCTTTGATACTCACTGGGCCTGAAACCCCTCCAGGGACACTGCATCCCCAGGAACAGCGATTACTGAGGGGACAGTGGGGGTCCCAGGGCCCTGGGCCCTAGCACATCCTCTTCCCGCTGTGGTGGGCGGTGTTGACACCCCATAACTGAGGGTGGGGGTGGGTCTCAGGTTGCTTGTAGGGAGGAGCTGGGACTGACCCACTGAGCGGCCTTTCATCTGCCCCAGGTGGACGGGTGGGCAGTGGGCTGGCACCTTCCTGGGGTTGGGCAGGGGGGGCGGGCACCTTCCCGGGTGGCATTTTGAGGCTTTGCAGCCTCTCCTGCCCCCAGGCTGCTGGGCAGCCACCTGACCAGTCCTCAGTCTAAGGTAGGTGTGGAGAGCATGGCTAGGGCGCCCTGTCCCCACAATTCCTGGCCGGTAGGGGGGACAGGAGTGCTCAGGGAGCACCGATGGCAGGTGAATGGCCTCGTGCATCCTCACCGGCTGGCTCTGTTGGAAGAGCATGAGGTTGGCAGCGTTTGGAGCAGGCCACCTAGGGGAAGTGGACGACACAGGGGTCCGTGAGCTCAGGAGTGACACGTCACTATGTGCCCTGAGTCTGTGCGAGTCCACACATGCAGTGTGCACTCTGTGTCTACGTGTGCAAGCCTGCCTTACTCCCTGTGCGTCTCAGAAGGCCGAGTGACCGAAGGTTGGGGACGCAGCCCGCCTGACTAGGGCCGCTGGTCAGTGGGGCCAGCTCGCCCCTGGGCCACTCCTCCTCCCCTGTTGAGTCTTGGTCCCGAGTGCAGGGCTGTCCCTCACCTGCTGCGGCCTGCCCGGTGTCTGGGAGGCCCGGTGGGTGGCCCGAGGTGCAGCCTCCACCCTGCCTTCTCGCCTCTGCAGAGCTCCCGCCACCTTGGCCGTGTGCACCGCCCACCCACTGGCCCACCGTCAGGGGCACCGAGCACCGCCTCTTTCCCCGTGCGAGCCCAGGTACGTCATGGCCTGGCTGGGCCGTTGGGGGGAGAACTGGCCACCTCTTGGTCTCACCTGTGACTGTCCCAGGGGCCTTGCTGGCTGGACAGTCCTGGTCCTGCACAGCCCGAGGCCGTGCTGTGTCCTGAGCATGCCTTGTTGGGGCGCCATGTGCTGGAGGAAAGGGACTCCTGTGGGAGTGTGACTGGGCTTTGTGGACAGGGTCACTGGCCGCAGCCCTGATGCACCAGTGTCCTCGTTCCAGCTGCCCCCAGTGTGCTGGGTCAGGTTTTTCGGTTTCAGATTAGACTCACCTGCTCACCTGGGGTGAGGGGAGAGGGGCGGCAGGACGTCCGGGGATGCTGGGCCAGCGGTGGCTGAGTAGATGTGGGTGTGGGCCCGGTGTGGAGACCCCAGGCAGCCCCCTGGTCCCTCCCACCACGCCCCAGAGAGTTGAAGCCAGGAGAGGTGAACCCCATGGGAGCCCTGCCTGTCGCTGCTCCCCTCCCAGCCCCGGCCACTTGGACCCCCTCTCGTCCTCTGAGGCCTGGCAGCTAGATGTCCAGTCATCTCTCCCTGAATTGTCTGACTCTGGGCTGCAGGGGCTCTGTGTGGTGGCAGTGGCTGGCTGTGGCCCTGTCATGGTGGTTGGTGTCCGTTGGGGTATGTGTGGAGAGGTCTGGCTTCTCTGATGGGTGGGGGCTCTCTTCCAGTCCGCTCTGCGTCATGAGTGTGCTCTGAGTACACACTCACACACTAGTGTCCCTGAGTGTCCCCTCAGCTTGGGTGCATGGGCCTGGCTGAGTTGGGCCAAGGGGAAGGTGGCCAGGGGTCGTTAGGGGTCACTGAGGCCTCCAGGGGTCACCAGATGCCACTTGCTCCTTGGGCAGAACTGCAGATAGTAATCTCTGAAGGGCCCCAGGTGGGGACCGTCCACTGCCTGCTGTGGCTCCTATGCGCCGGGCCTGGGGCGCATAGTCACTGTTGTGTCCCTTTAATGGGGCCCAGACACGCCAAAGAACCCTTGGGGAGGACAGGGTAGAGAGCCATGGAAGCCCCAGGAGGGTGGGCAGTGTGGGTTGGGCAGGGACTTGGGGGTGCTCCTGTCCCTCCCCTGGCAGGGCCAGCTGTGCCCCGGGAGGACCCACACAGATACCTTGCTGGGCTGGAGCTACAGCTCTCCCCAGAGCCTCCCCTCAGGGTTGGCAGATGCTGGTCCTGGCGGGGGTGAGGGGTGTGGGGGGTGTCCAGACGGCCCTACTCCAGTGCAACCCCCATCTGCCCCCTTGCACACCGCTGGACGGCAGACTGTCAGTGGTGCCCGGCACCCTCCCTCCCTCCTCCCCCCTTCCCTGCTCCTCCTCCTCCTCCTCTCCCCTCTGAGCTCTGCTGCCCAGCTCTCTCGGACCTGGAGCGAGTCCTTCCCGATTGTCCCATGGGCGCGCAGGGCCCGTGGACGGCCTTGGTGACTGGGTGGGCACATGCATGCCTGCAGTGGCACCCTTGCCCAGGCCGGGCTCTGCCTGAGCTCCGAAGGGGGAGACTGAAGCCCAGGTAGGGGCCAGGCGCCCAGGCCACAGGCTGACTGCCCCCCTCCATGGCCCAGAGACTGTGCTGCCCCCAGCGGTGTGGGCATCTGTCCCCATCCATGACTGGGGTGTGTGTGCACCTCCAGGCTGTTCGTGGTGCCTGTCCTGGGGGTTGTGCGAATCACCCTGGGAATCTGCGCGCCGGGCTTGTGTCCACGTCTGCAAGTGAGTGTGGACCTGTCCGGGGTCTGACCAGCCGCAGATGGTGCAAAAGGAAATTTGGGACCCGTTGTTCAGAATCATCACGACTTCCGAAATGGTGGCAGCGGCGTGTCAAACCAGCCAGGGCTCCTGCGTGACTGCACAGGTCCCGCGCCCTGGCTGGGCAGAGGAGCAGGTGCCCCGCCCCCCCAAGCTGCGCTCAGGGCCCGGACTGGGCTGCCCGTCTCTGCAGGCCCGTCTTCCCGTCCCTAGTGGTCTCGAGGAGCCCATGCGCCCCGGCTGCTCTCTTTAAGTGTGAAAACCTGCGCAGGCTCCCTCCCTCCCTCCTCGCGTGCCCTCTCTCGCCCTGGCGCCTGCTTTAAACCATGGCACTGCCTGGCCCCGGCCTCCCCATCCACTGCTCCCCTCAGGTTGGGTATCCCAGGCCCACCCCTGTCTCAACAGGCGCCTCTCCCCACCCAAGCTGTGAGCAGCGGGAGCTTCCGGGTCCCAGGGAGGAGGTGGGGGGAGGCGGCTTGCAGGGTGCGCACCCCGGGGTGTTTGGGCTACACTCCCCGGCGCTACTACCTCGTACATCGCTCTGGACCCGAGGCTTGGGCCCGGGACCAAAGCCAGAGCTGCCCCAAGTCGCCACCGTACAGCTACTGGGTCACCCTGTCGTTTGCATAGTGCTTCACGTGGGTGCGGTCGGAGGTCTCCGGGCTCGGCGGGGCTGCGGGGTCGGGCGCAGAGCGGCCGCGGGGGACGGCGAGGGGCATCGTTCCCGAGGCTGAGAGCTGCCTGGGCCCAGCCCTCGGCCCCCCGGCCCGGTGCCCCCAGCCCAGCCCTCCGCGGGCATCTTCCCCCGCACGGGCGCGGGCGGAGGGTCCGGGGCGGGGCGGGGGCGTCACCCCGGGGCTGCGATTGGCCGGCGCGGGGAGGAGGGGAGGG